TACATAAGTAGAATGGGTGTTATTCGATTAGTAGTTCCCGACGATGAAAACCAATAGGTTGATGTGCCATCAAATAATCGCTTTAAAAAGCTTATCACTGGCAACACACGATCACATGTCGGGGAGGGTTGCCGCCGTACACAAGCAGTATTTTGTTGAATTTCCCGTCCGTAAATGCGCGGTCGCAATGTTTTATAATATTCGACATAGTCTATAACGTTGTCAGTTTCCTGGCAGGATACTCTCGGTGGTAACAAACCGCTTGACGATATTATAAGCTGTCTGCTTTGAAACACCATTTTGATCTCTAATCTCAGCAAATGACAGTCCACGAAAATACAAATCGACAAATCTTGTTCTCACTTCAACTGGTTTTTTGACTCCTTGCTTCTCCATCGTGGTGCTTAAACAACTTGGACGAATGCCAATTTGTAGACGCAAACTACACGATGACCGATCAAAAGTGAATGAAAGACAGACGCGCCTCAAAGTCTAGATGTACCTGACTTTGTAACCAAAATAGAAAACATTGTGGGCAATATCTGTTAATCATTCCTCTGATTTGCAGTCAATGTTTATATTTTTAGTTACAACTTCTGTAAATGTGAAAACAAAGTGTGTAACCTACTGTAGTAAGTTATCAACATCTAGCACTACTTCAGCGTCAAATCAGTGCCTGGAATTGCTGTAACATGCCATTGAACTATATTGGATATAGTATGCATATTTCAGTGAGGGCACAGGTAACCATGGCAACTTTGTTAGGCGTAGCTCATGTCAGCTATTTAAGGACAATACTCATTTTATTAGCTGAATAAAAATAACAGTACATTTTTCTTTCTTTTTCCAGGTATTTCAAAGAATAGAAAGTTCAAATTATTTAGAATCACCTCAAAACAGATTTGATTACTTTACTACTAAGGTATAAACTTTATATTAAGTTACTGTTATTTATTGGCCTGATATATTTAGCAACAATTTCATAATAACATAATGTTTTATGAATAAGAAATGCTATTCATTTGATTTCAAATGGTGGCATTTTTTATTTTTTCAATGACTTGTTTTTTTCAGGTTTTGCCTCACTTCCGTGATCGTGTAATGTCAGGTACAATGATATTCGTGCCTTCCTATTTTGATTATGTTCGATTAAGGAACTATTTTAGAAAGGAAGAAATCAATTTTGCACAGATTTGTGAGTAAGTAAACAGTTCATTTTAATGGCTGCCTCCTAAAATATCTATCTACATAGCTTATTCAACTAGTTACATGGTTTTTTAAAAACTCGTAAAGTTTAGAAGTGCCACATTCTGGTCTTCTACTTTCTAAATCTAGTGGCTCCCAGAACTTAATGAAACCTGTGTACAATACTGATTATTACATTGAGCACATCCAAACCAAAACCAAATATATTTGTTCCTAGCAACCAGACACATCCATAGCAACCCAAACATGACATACATTTTATCAGTGATCGCTTGCCTTCTAACAAACACACCCATGTAAATAAGTCATGCAGTAACTTCATATTATAGGAGTCTAACGAATATCACATTGGAAACTCGGTAAAATATCGCTGTCACACTGGTTACCAGTTTGCCTGATGTGTCACGTGTTGTAGTTCAATGCATACTTTTCATCTCATGTCTTTTCCAGATACACAAAGCAATCCAATATTTCCCGTGCCAGAGTGAACTTCTTTGAAGGCAAACGACCTCTATTGTTATACACAGAAAGGTTCCACTTTTTTAGAAGGTAAATGTGACAGTATTTTTGTCTCATGATACTGTAGAACACTTTATTTTTGCTTGGAATTTATTCCCGTGAAAATAAAATCCAACGAATATACTTTTTTTTCTTATATTTCACATTAAACTCATCAAAAATCAGTGAAAACGTTCAAAAAGCCTTTGCAGCGAAAATAAAGTATTCCACGGTAAGCATTAATTTTGTTCACCTTTATGGCAACATTCCTGATCATATAACATGTTTTGTTGATTTACAGGTATAAAATCCGTGGTATTAAGCATATTGTCTTCTATCAATTGCCAACATATCCTAACTTGTACAGTGAACTATGCAATATGATGAGAGTTGGGATCGGTATTGACAACAGTTGTACCGTGGTCTATTCAAAGTATGACGTGCACAGATTAACAGGAGTAGTAGGAACACAACGATGCGCACACATGTTGTCAGCTAACAAGAGCATACACATGTTTGTAACCGGAGAGGATAGCTGAGTTGTGAAGTTTTAAGAACCTGAACATTGTTTATTTCAAGTGACAATTACATTCTATAGTAGTACATGAACGAAAGCAAGTGGAGTGGGAGTAGGCAAAAATGAACGGACGCACTGAAAAGCTTTAAACATTTTACACATTGGTCCTAAGATTATGAATGCCATCAGGGTACATATTCATATCATCAAATATGTCACACATTGAACAACACAAATGTAAAATTCCTGAGAATATAAAAATTTGACTTACTGTATCTGTAACAATAAATTAAAAATACAAACTTGAATCAAGGCTTTTACATAATTTTTGAATATTTACAGAACAATCTAACTTTTAGAAATTACAGATGTGAGAAATGTACACACAACAACTATCTATTGCTATGTTCACACGGCAGCATTCTATCGGAGCCGAACTACTGCTCCTCCCACGGATTAACAGGAGATTATCTCCAATGCGTTCATACGGTCGAGAGCTGAGATCTGCCAGGATTTGATTCAATCAGAGCCAAAACGAACAGTGCCCTCAAATAATATGAAAAAAAATGCACTGAAAACGATTTTGGTGCTGTGCTTGTGTTATTTCTTTACATGGCACAATGCTGTTGAGCTGGGAGAAAACAATTGTGAGTCTGAGCATGGACAATGCACTGGTGTTATGATTTAGGTACCAGTATCTCAAATCCATGCTCATTACACCTCCCTGCTTGAATAAACAAGTAACACGGCAGCTAAAATGTGTAACAGCCTATTATTCGCCTGTAGTGATATCTAAACTACTAGGAAGAATTGCAAGAATCTAAATAATAGGCCCCTGATGCGTATACACAGTCAGGCCATGTCGGGGCTCAACCCTATCGGAATTCAACCCTGATGGTTTATTGGAGCCGAACTTGGCTCAAGTCCCCTGCATATACACGGCCATTTTTGCTGGCTCGGGCCGTAGGGCTCCAATAAAGTGCTGTGGTGTGAACGTAGCAAATAACTTACGCATCAGTTTGTTTGACAACTTATGTCATTAATGCCAAGCCTGGAAGCTTTATTATGTAACACAAGTATAAATGGCACCATCCATGTAAACTTAGGACATAGCAAGAATGAAATGTTACCATAACAACGTAGAGTGTTATATGCTGCATATACCTGCCATAACAGTGAACACAGTAATAAACTATGCAAATACAAGACTGAAGTAACTGAATTCTTGTATTCTCCTCCTGAGACGAGATATCTTCGGTATACATGACCTACTCTACCGGCCAAGTATAGTGTTAGTGGAATCTGACATAATATAACCTGAAAGCAAAGAATATTTGGTGAGGCATATTAACTGAATAATGAGTTTTGAACAATATTTAGGATTGCAAAAAATGTGCAAAATTATTATCAAGTGTTTGATTAAAGAATTATCGGTAAACTTAACAATTAAAAATCGTGGATAGTACATGAAATAAATATTTTAGTTTTTTTTCATTTTTTTAGCATGACTACTAAATCATCAAAAATATCAACATTTACATCAGAGCATAGTTGTATGCCTTTTGATAGTCCAAAGTGGGGACTTGTGTTTTGGGGTTTGTCTGTTTTCTTGGACATAACTACACTGGTTCGTTTTAGTCCCAACAAATATGATAGGAGACATACATGTTAATTAACATAACCTTTCATATGTAATTGTGAGACAATTGCTGAATAAATAAACCCTTCACTTTGGTTGAAGAGCCACTGAACATTTAATAATTGAAATGTGTACATAATAAATATCTAATTTGCATAAATAGATTTGAATACTAGTTAGTCATCTTTACTACATCACCTACCATTAAGTCCGTGGTAATAATAAATTACATTTATTACTCATTAGGCTTAATTACAGATTACAGCTCCGAACGGAAATTAGGGAATTTACCTGGGTGCACAAAGAACACCCTAGGGTAGCATTCCCTATAGAAAAAAAAGGCCTCTCCTGAGGGGTCACCCTCAGGGTGGTCACGCGTGTGAGGTCTGATCCGTTCATTCTCTCTTGTTTCCGCTACCAATGGGTGCAGATCTTTTTCAGCTACGCATGACAGGTAAACAGGTTACAGTTTTATGACTGAGATTACATAAGAATCTAGTGTTGGTGATCTCATTTCGTAATTTTTTCCTGACTGCATAATGCCTAAGTCGTAAAAAAAGACTAAGAATGTCCTGACGCAACAGTCGGGACGTAAGACATGCTCATCCTGCCTTAAACAAATGCCTGTTTGAAACACCGTTCAACTGGGTCCGGTTTCCGATGTTGGTAAACAGCGTATTCCTTCTGGGGCACTGCTTGCACAATCACATGGCTCTGTTGCCTTCCCTTACCGGTACTAATCTAGGTGACCAAGTAAAAAGCTTTTCCATGGTGAAGAGATGGCTTGGAAGGCCTGGATGCGTAATCGGGTTTCAAAAGTCAACTCTCTTCTGCAGTCTCAGGGTACGACGCAGGAGGACCTGGGGGGGCACGGGCTGAGATACTTCCTGTCAGAGAGAGCGATGGAGGGAGTGATTGGTACCCTTCATGAGAAAAGGACAAACAGCTTGAACCTGGTTTCAGAGCGGTCATGTCCCATGCCTTCCGTTGAGTGAAACGATACCCCATTGGGGCTACGTGAATCGTACCACACAGCCTACTCCACGGGTTCCCCGTCCCGACCCCGCTACCCATACCTTCATTAAGGCGGGTAGTGCAGATCGGGAAGGCCATGTTGCGTGGTCATTTGACCAGCACCAGAGCCTACAAGTGCATCAGGCTTTATGAACGGAACTTGGACCCATCAATTTTATAGAATGGGTTTCTTTGGCGTTAGAGCGTCAGCTCACCTTGCTAAGTTCTGACTGTCTGAGTGCTCAGCAACGAACCTCGGGCAGATGGGCTGCGCAGAATGTCGCTATGTCAGATATTTTGCCGGTCCGTACTGCCCTCTTGGCAGAAGCAGTTTCAGTTGAACGAGAGGCAGTTCTGAGTCTGTGCGCCTATCCTACTCCAGCGAGAGACGAGTTTGATTGCCTGCAGAGAAGGCCTTGGGGGCGTGGCCTGCTATTTCGTGGCCGGTTAGCGTATGCGCTGAACAGTTTGGCGCAGATCAGCGTATCCAATTGAAGTAATCGTCCCTGTTAACAAGGTAGCTAGTCCTTCTGGTCAACAGTTCAAATCAAAACCACAAGGTGGCTCAGGCAGTAAGTCCTTCGCTCGGGGCCACAACCAGCGAGGATCAAAGCGCACATGGTAGCAGAGAAGACTAGTAGCAGAAGAAGACTAGTAGTGGGAAGTGTCAGAAAAAAACCAAGAAACGTCGCTTTGGTGGTGGGCGTTCTGACCCTTCTAGTGACCAGGGGGCCACGAAGTCTCTTTGAAGGTTTCCCTTCCATGCTGGAGGCTGAAGTTTGGGAAGTACTAGCTCCGAACCCCCATCCGCTCCTTTCTGTGGGGTCGCGCTTAAGTTATGCAGCACATTTCAGCTTGGCGCAGGAGAATTTCCAATCGCTGGACACTTGCAGTAGTGTCATGTGAGTTTTGGATTCCTCTTCGGTTTCCTACTCTTCACCCTCCCTCAGGTCCTTTGCCGAGAGATGAGGTCAAGGCAGAGACGATCCGACAGGAAGTAGTGGAGCCTAGTGGAGAACCCCCATTTATTCCAAGGTTCTATTCCCACATCTTCTTCGTTCCTAGACCTCAGTCGGCTGAACGGGTTTGTGGAACTCAAGCGATTCCTGATAGAAACACCAGCTTGCTAAGACAGCTGCTACACTGGTCGTCGGTCTATCTGAACCCATATCTCGACACAGGGAGGTTTTAGTGGAGCACGTGCAGATTCTCCTCCGCGAGTTGGACTTTTTAATAAATATTGCCAAGTCCAACCCAAAACCGTCCCACAGCCTGGTTTTTCCGGGTATGCATTTCGGCACAGAGCAAGGGCTCGTTAGTCCACGCATGAACAATGTGACTCTCTTGTAGAGTTCGCCAGCTAACTCCGGTCGACGGGATTGGTGTCGATGCGTGAACTAATGCGGCCTATTGCAAATGACTTCTGGTTCCGTTAGCAGCTCTCTGGTCACATCCGATTCAGAGGTGCTTACTGGACTACAGGATCCACATGCGGAACCTGACGTTCAGGGTTCAATCGTTGGACAAAGAGATGACGGCAATCCTTTGGCGGAAGGATGCATGGTACTTGGAAACGGGAACACCCCTAGTTCCGACGACTCCCTCGCTGACTCACTACAGATGCATTGCCCCAGGTATGGTGCGGTTATCTGAGGGACCTTCAAGTCCAAGCGGATGTGGCCGTCCGCATATTTGGACCGCCACATCTATTGGTGGAGTTACAGACCGTCCTACCGCCAGGAAGTCACACAACACCACAGAGTCCGGCTTTGGACAGAGAACACCTCAGTAGTGTCGTACATCAACGAGAAGGGGAGGAACGCGTTTCCCCACGTTGTTGAAGCTAGCAGAGGAGATTGTCCTTTGGTGCCTGGATAAGTTTTATCAGAATCTGCTGGACTGAAACTGGCTTTGAGTTCTATTATGATACAACTGTTTTAGTCTTTCCATTCAAAGAGGCCACACGCCAAGGGGCTAGCTAATCCTCTTGACTGGGACTTGTCGTTGGTCTAACGGCGTTACAACACCCCCTTCGAGTCTATGGATAAGGCAGACACGAAGTATGTCACTTTGTAAACAGTTTTATCTTTTGGCTTTAGCATCAGGTATGCGACGCTCAGAGATAGGAGCACTATCCTTTAGTGAAGGATGTGCCTCCTTTATAAACTCACTATTTATTTTAAAGACTCGGCTTGGCTTTCTTGACAGGAATCCCAGGGCATGACTCTGAGCCGACTGTCATCCCACGCCTCACATTGTGGGCAAGAAGGACCGTCAGGAACGGATTCTATGCCTGGTTCGAGCTCTGAGCTCGTACTGCGATCGCACCAAGGTGTCGAGGGGCAGTGAGAAGCGCATGTTTGTCTTTTATGGGCGGGGCAAACAGAGCCACCCTACTTCGAATATCACCATTTCGCAGTGGATTGTTGATACGGTCATAGAAGCGTATAAGTTAACTGCTTCTTCATCGGCTCGTTTGGAACGCCACCAGATGAAGGCACACGAGGTAGCTAACTCATTGGCTTCTAGCAGGTGCTTCGAGCAGGGTTCTGGAGATCTCAGAATGTCTTCATTAAGTATTACCTGAGAGACCTCCAAGCGCTGCAGGAGGGTCTCTACAGGTTGGGTTCAGTGGTGACGGGTCAGACTGTGTTCGTGCTATCGAACCCCAGCAATACACTGTTTTTGATGCATTAGAATTGTTGGGGCCCTATTTTATTGTTCAGTCGGCCGGCTTTAGTAAGCCTCCCTATATTTGGGGGGGTGGTCTACTCTCGAGGCACCCGGCCCCTGAAGAGTCGCCCAAGTGGTTGTATCCTGGGACAAGACTCCTTGTTAGTGAGTAGTTTTAGATATCTCTCAGTTTTTTTACCTTTATTTGTGTCAAAAAATTTACATTTACATTTCCCCACCTCCGGTAAGCGTGCTACTCTGCCTAATTAGTCCCCGTTCGGACGCAGTCCGAAAACAGGGACTTATGTTTTGCCCTGTGTGCGTCCGTCCGTGCGTCCGTGATCACCTGTATCTCAAACATGCATGGACCGATTAAGTTCAAACTTCACTCATACATCACACATTATATGGCACATATGCACATGCATTTTTTTCATGATCTGATTAACGATAGCCGAATAGCGGCCATTTTAAGGCCGAAAATGCATCAAAATCGCACATTTTCACCATTCCGGACCCGGATCTCAGTTACGCATGGACGGATTTTGTTCAAATTTGGTACATACATTAAACATAATAGGACCTTGATGCACGTCATTTTTTTTTTGGATCGGGTTCGAAATGGCCGACTGGCGGCCATTTTGTTTTAAAGAATTCAGTTCTGGATCCGTATCTGAGACATGCTTGGATTGATCGAGTTCAAACTTCACACACACAAGGTACATCATGTCACAAATATGTATGTGCATTTGTTTCATGATCTCATTAACGATAGCCAAATGGCGGCCGCTTTAAAGCCGAAAATGCATTGAAATCGCACATTTTCACCATTCCGGACCCGGATCTCAGTTATGCATGGACGGATTTCATTCTAATTTGGTACATACATTAAACATAATAGACCTGATGCACGTCATTTTTTTT